GACGAATGCCAGACAGTCCCGTTTCTCCCGTATGAGTTTGGGTCCCCAGAGACTCACCCGGAACTGGAGCTCAGAGCCTGAGACTCCCTCCCTATTGAAAAAGACAATAGTGTCCTCAGCTGCCAGCCCTTTCCGCCTGCACCTCCGCACCTTTGTATTTACTTCAGCACCGCACCTCCTCTGAATCTTGGCATGCTTTTCTCTTTCCTTCTAGTTGTAGAAATTCCACTCAGCCAGCCTTCCTATGGTTCTGGATGATGTCCGTTATGACTTTTAGTTGTATTTTTGAAGTGGTTGTGCGAGGCAGAAATCTCCAGTGTTTACCTATGCCTCCATCTTGGTTTCTCCTCTATCATCATTGGTTGATTCTTATATGTGCCCTGACTAGGGATCAAATCCACAACCTTTGTGTATTAGGATGAGGCTCTAATCAACTGAGCCTCCCAGCAGGGCCATCTTCTAATCAATATACTTCTATGGATTTGAATTTTATATCAAGCATGCCATTCTTTTATAAAAATAAGAGAAAGCCTTATTGCATTTTTATGGTTAACTTTCTCCTTTAGTGTCCAGAAGGAACAATTTCAATGTGCCATGAAAAAGTCCTAGAGCCCTGGCCTGGCGATTGAGTTGGTTGGAGTGTTCTCCTGTATACCAAAATGTTGCAGGTTCAATTTCCAGTCCTCAGTCAGGCATATGGGAGGCAACCAATGGATGTTTCTCTCTCATATCAATGTTTCTTTATCTCTCTCTCCCCATCTTCTCTCTCTAAAAAATCAATAAAACATATCCTCAAGTGAGGATTTAAAAAAACACAGTGTGTTGAGGCTAGAGCAACCCCATTGCTAGCCTGTGAAGGACATTTGATGGGCTGTCAGGATCTTGCCTGCTGATTTCTCAAGTTGCATGACTGAATATATAGACTGACCTAACTGCCACTTTTTTAGTTTTCCGTGTATCACTTGTAAAAGAGAGCACAGTTTAGGAAATTAATTAAGTTAAAAAGTATACTTATTGTTGGTGTTTCTATTATTTAAAATATGGCCAACAGCTGTATGAAGTGTTAGGAGATATTCCTCAGGTAGTTCTGTTTGACCGCTGCCCTGGTCAGCCTCACCATAAAACCCTTGGCTTTGGTCATGTTCTTCTAGGATTGCTAAGGAACAGTTAAGCATCTTTTCCAATGTCCTGAAGATATGTGTCACAATAGTCTTCCAGCTCCGGGAAAGCTTGTAATTTTCATGAAATGGCAGAGACCAATAAATAGTTCAAGAAATGATGGGAGAACCCTAAAGATTCCACCAAAACACCACTAGAAGTGATAAATGAATTCAGCAAAGTAGCAGGATACAATATAAATATCCAGAATTTTATTTTTTAATTTTTTAAAAATATGTTTTTATTGATTTCAGAGAGGAAGGGAGAGGAAAAGAGAGAGAAAAACATCAATGATGAGAGAGAATCACTGATTGGCTGTCTCCTGCACTCCCCCTTCTGCAACCCTGCAACCCAGAATCAAACCCAGGACTCTTCAGTTTGTAGGCCGATGCTCTGTCCACTGAGCCAAACCAGCTAGGGCAGAAATTAGTTGCATTTTTATACACCAATAATGAACTACCAAAAGGGAAACTAAAAAAACAATCCCACTTACAATTGCTTCAAAGAGAATAAAATACTAGGGATAAATGTAACCAGGATGTAAAAGACCTGTACTCAGAAAATTATAAGACAGAAGAAAGAAGTTAAGAAGATGCAAATAAGTGGAAGCATATACTGTGTTCACAGATAGGAAGAATTAACATCATTAAAATGTCCATACCACCCAAAGCAATCTACAGATTCAATTCCTATGAAATACCAATTCCTATGAAAATACCAATGACCCATTTCACATAATTAGAACAAATATTCCAAAAATTCACATGGGACCACAAAAGACCCGAATAGCCACAGCAATCCTGAGAAAGAAAAACAAAGTTGGAGGAATCATACTACCTAGTATCAAACTATATCACAATGCATAATAATCAAAATAGCATGGTACTGGGCCCTAGCTGGTTTGGCTCAGTGGATAGAGTGTCGGCCTGTGAACGGAAGTATCCCATATTTGATTCTGGTCAAGGGCACATGCCTGGGTTGCAGGCTCGATCCCCAGTAGTGGGTGTGCAGGAGGCAGCCGATCAGTGATTCTCTCTCATCATTGATGTTTCTATCTCTCTCTCCCTCTCCCTCTCCTTCTCCCTTTCTCTCTGAAATAAATAAAAATATAAAAACAAACAAACAAAAGAAACACAGCATGGTACTGGCATAAAAACAGACACATAAATCGATGAAACAGAGTAGAGAGTCCAGAAATAAACCCAGGTCTTTATAGTCAACTAGAGGCCTGGTGCATGAAATTTGTGCACTCAGGGGGAGGGGAAGGGTTCCCTCAGCCCAGCCTGCACTGTCTCGCAGTCTGGGAGCCCTCGGGGGATGTCCAACTGATGGCTTAGGCCTGCTCCCAGGGGGAATGGGCCTAAGCCGGCAGTCAGACATCCTGAGCACTGCCACAAAGGTGGGAGAGGCTCTCGCCATCACCACTGCGCTCAGCAGCCATAAGCCTGGCTCAGGGCTTCTGGGTGAGCTGCGCTCCCCTTGTGGGAGCACACTGACCACCGGGTGGCAGCTCCTGCATTGAGCATCTGACCCTTGATGGTCAGTGTGCATCATAGCAACTGGTAGTTCAGCTGTTTGGTCAATTTGCATATTAGCCTTTTATTATATAGGATTACTATTTGACAAAAGAGGGAAAAACATAAAATGGCCTAAAGATAGTCTATTCAATAAATAGTTCTGGGAAAATTAAACAGATAATGTGCAAAAAATGTAACTAGATCACCTTCTTACAACATACACAAGAATAAACTCCAAAAAGATTAAAGACTTAAATGTTAGGTTAGAAAACATAAAAATCCTAGAAAACATAGGCAGTAAAATATTGGACATTTCTTTATATTTCTTCATTTTTTTATTGATTTCACAGAGAGGAAGGGAGAGGGAGAGAGAGAGATAGACATCAATGAGAGAGAAACAACGATCAGCCGCCTCCTGCAAATCCCCCACTGTAAAAATGGGCAAAGGTCCTGAATAGACACTTTTCCAAAGAAGACATACCGATGGCCAATAGGCATATGAAAAAATGCTCAACATCACTAATAAAAAAATGAAAATTAAAACCACAATGAGATATTACCTTACACCTGTAAGAATGGCTATCATCAATAAATCAACAAACAGCAAGTGTTAGGAAAGATGTAGAGAAAAGGGGACCCATGTACACTGCTGGTGGGAATACAGATTGGTGCAACCACTGTGGAAAGCAGTATGGAGTTGCCTCAAAAAATTAAAAATGGAACTGCCTTATAACCCAGCAATTTCACTTCTGGGAATATATTTGAAGAAACTCAAAACACTAATTGGAAAGAATATCTGCACTCCTATGCTCATTGCAGCATTATTTACAATAGCCAAGATTTGGAAGTGGCCCAAGTGTCCATCAGTAGATGAATGGATAAAAAACTTGTGATACATTTACACAATAGAATACTGCACAGTTGTAAAAAAAAAAAAAAAAAGAAGGATCTCTTACCCATTGTGACAGCATGGATGTACCTGGAGAGCATTATGCTAAGTGAAATAAGCCAGTCAGAGCAAGACAATTACCATATGATTTCACTCATATATGGAATCTAATGAACAGAACGAACTTACAAGCAAAATAGAGACAGACTCATAGATAGATAGCAGGCTGACAGCTGTTGGGGAAGTAGGGAGACTGGTTAAGTGGGGGAGGGATTGAGAAAAAAAGAAAATAGAAGAGAAAGAACTCATTGACACAGACAGCAGTAGGGTGATTGCATGGGAGGGGGCGGTGGGAGGGGTGGAGGTGGAAGAAGGTATGGGGGATAAATGGTGATGGGTAAAAAACATGGAAGAAAAAGATCAGTGTTTGCAAATTATATGATCATTTAAAAAAAAAAAGGATGATGGAAAGAATCTGGCTCCATGGAAAGAGTCCCTGATATGAACAATTTGAACTCCTGGTTCTGTGACTTAATAGACTGGTTCCTGCTCAGTCCCTTTGAACAGGAGGCAGACCTCACAGAACACGTCTCTAGGCACAGCTGTCCTGATATTCACCCTGTGCTCTTTCCTGTCCCATGTCAGGGAGTTAACTCCCTTTGAGGAGTTATTGTTCCCATTTAGAAGGTAAGAAATCTGAACTCAGGAAAATAAATTAATATGGGTGGAATGGCCAACCACAGATTATATATGTTAACTAGAGGCCCGGTGCATGACATTGGTGCACTGGAGGGGTGTCCCTCAGCCTGGTCTGCGCCCTCTTGCAGTCTGGGACCCCGAGGGATCCTTAGCGCTGCCACAGAGATGGGAGAGGCTCCCACCACTGCCATTACGCTCACCAGCCACCAGCTGTGAGCCCAGCTCCTGGCTGAGTGGTGTTCCCCCTGTGACAGGTCGCTGACCACCAGGGAGCAGCTCCTACATTGGGCGTCTGCCCCCTGGTGGTCAGTGTGCATCATAGTGACTGATCATTCTGCTGTTTGGACAATTTGCATATTAGGGTTTGATTATATAGGATTACATACTTCAATTAAGTAAAGGTTCAGCCAGCAAACCATTTTTACTGTGTTTTAATCAATATTAAACAGCTGGGCAGTTCAACAATGACATGGGACTTTGTTTCTTGTCTCTGTAGTTCATTTATTGATTTTCATCTCTTTTTTCCTTCACAGGTAATGCCACGTCATATGGCTTTATAGTGTATCAAAACAGAAAGTTTTTCCAATCAAAAACTTTTAAAAGTCAATTAGATATTAATAAAAGAGTTATCTCAAGCACAACTAATAACACTGGGAACAATCAGAGTGTTTCTTTTAAAATGGCCTTTCAGCAACAGGTGAGTGTTCCCATTAACAAATTAATAATTTAGCCAACTCTTATTACAAAAGCAGGGATAGTTTGGGCAAAAGAAATTTACAGAAAAACTCTTTGAGAGTCTTTTTTGAAAGTATTCACTTAAACCTTCCATATTTTTTCGTCAGACTAACTAAATGCAAAATTGGCTAATTTGAATTTTTTATCTTTTCCCCCTTATTCTACAATGAAGATGTTATGCTTAATACATATCTGATTTCTCATATGATTATCTTATTCTTTTTGATTTTTTCTACCAAGTTAAGCATTTAAAAATCTGTTGCAATTGTCTTATCAATTCACAGTATGAAAAAAAGGAACTTAAGTTCTATTCCTTTGCCTGTGTCTATTGGAACTTAAAAAAGCAAGATTGGGACACAGACGGCTGTTTCAAAGATGGAGAAAGGGATGGGTTGCTACACTGCCGCTGTAACCACACTTCAAATTTTGCTGTGTTAATGGTAAGGATGTACAGTGTAATCTCTTTCCAGACAGGAATTTTGCTTACACACAATTCTGGTATGTACTAATTGAAGTTAACTTTGGAGTTTGATTTACTCAAATCAGATTAAATGGAAAAAAGGGAATGGGATGATAAGACTAAAAAGGGAAAAGCAAATAGAATATATTCAATTTGTCCCACAGTTCCTATACATATTTCTTAAACCTTTTAACTCCAAAGCTACCTTGTATAAGTAGCTGATAACATTTAACTTCATTGTGCAGCTTTATTTCACCTCTGGAAGTTCTTGGGCTGACCCTTTTAAGAAGAGGGGCTTCTGTTTGTTCCATTTCCAGAAAACTATTATTTTGGTGACACCAAAAATGTTAATATATATTCTTGATGCAATGTGTGCCAACTTACCCTTAATTAAGGTATTACTAATGCTGTGAATCTCCCAAAGAGAAGCTGATTTTCTTTCC